CCTGGATACTCCTTGGGTAAGAAGAGCACCATTTGAAAAACGAAACAAGACAGAAATTATGACTTATTTTTTCCAAAGGTTCCACCTGTGTTGTATCTCTGAAATATACATACATGTGTATATCTATATGTGTACACGTACATGTGTATCTCTGAGCAGAGGAGCAGGACGGAAGCCACGCCCATATCCCAAGAGAGCTGTGAGGCAAGGGCGGAAGCTGTCTTCAGTAGGTAGGGAGTGGGATTCCCGCAGAAAATGCTAGCTTTGCCCTGTTGTCACTTTTGCTCCCTAGCGGACAAGGCTAGCTCTGCCCTCCTGTGGTCTTCAAGGAGGGTTCTGGAGAAGGATGGGGCCCCACTCTCCCTCCAGAGCCATCAGTGTCAGCATGGACGCAGAAATAAGGACAGGAGGCCTGGAGTGGGCAAGACCAGGCTACCGCCTGGCTAAGTAAAGCATCTTTGACCTCCTTCTGGGCAATGGCTCTGGGCCCTGTGCCTGTTCTCACTGACCATCTCTTGGGGCTCAGCCTTTTCAAGGGCCCACAGCATATTCTACCCACCTGGGCCAGCCCTTCCACACTCAGTCCCCACTTAGCACCCCCTCTTCTATGTAAACTAAAAGGTAGTTCTGAGTGTGGTATGTTGACTTTTTAATTTTGTTTTTACTACAGAAGTTGCCTGAAGTGTATATTTGTGCTGCCATTTTGGCCCTCAAGCCAATGAGCTTCTTGGTGTTCTCATTTTTTGCATTTTATTCTAGACAGTTCAGAGGACCTGGAGACTCTACCACAACACCCAGTTCATTCCTTTTAATCCGTTATTCATTACTCACCTAGGTGTTTAACAAGCGAATCTCAGTATGTCACGTTGTTCGGGCTTTGATGAGGCCCAGAGGCCCTCATCGCTTGGAACGGCCCCTCCTCGCTTGGAATTAACACCATATCAGGGGAGACCACATACCAACATGTGGAAGCGCCCAGTTCAGGCACGGGAGCTCGGGGGGAGGATAAACAGGGCTGGAGTGTGCAGGTAAAGCTTCCTGTAGAGGTGGGATCAGAAGGTCCCATGATAGTGGGCAGAATTAGAACAGGAAAACACCCTAAGCCTAAGGAACAGCAGAGGTGTCAGGAGGCTTCCATAAGTTTGTGTGGCCTTGGAGGACAGCTGCCACTGTTGGGGTCTCTACTATAACTACAAGGACTTCCAGCTGACATGGAAGCTTGATGGGCCAGAGCATGAAAGCAGGGCCATCAGAAGTCCCAGGAGGGTGTCGCAGAACCTTGCATCCTGTGGGGCGCCCACACTTGCTTCAGGCAAACATCTCAGAAGCCAGTGAGGTGGAAGGCTGGCAGAGTTGCCCCTGGACTCCAAGGCTCTCAAACCCCACCTTCCATCCAGAGCCTTGTGTATTTCACATCCCCAAACTCAGACAGGTAATTCTATGTGGTTGATTTGATGTCCATTCTCTCCCAGCAGAAGATAGACCAGCAAGGAGTGATGGTCAACACAAATTGGGCGTGGTTCTTATGATCTTTTGCTTTGTTGTCCTTCTTCCTAGATCTTTTCTAGGAGGGATGATAAAAGGAGACTTCCTATGGCTTATTAAGACCAAGAACATCTGCCTTCAAGGATTGGGGCTGTCAGCACATTCTCAGAGCTACCTGCTGGCTCCCTAGTCCACTGTGCCTTATCCAGCGAGAAGTGCACACTTGGAGCTGGGCAAGAGCCTGGTACATGCTGGTGTCAGAGAGGAGAGTAGGTCAGAGCAGGGATTGTCAAGAGATGGGAAGAACGCCCACAGCAGGACGGGGTGCAGCGGCAATAGGGTGTCCATTCAGACCTATGGTGCCAAGAGTTTGCACATCAATCAGAAGACATCCTGCTTGTCCTCCAGCTCATCTTCCTGCCTTCAAGACATCTTCCTAAGTACAGATCTCATCATAGCACCCTCCTGCCAGTACCTCAGGAAGCCCCTGCCACATCTCAAAACAACCAGGCAGTCCAGCAACATGGCAAATGGACCCTTTCCCATCTTGTAGTCAACAAAATGTTGTGTAAATATGACCAAAAAAATATTCATTCTAATATATGCTGTCCTGCAAAAAGGAAGGGAAGTCCTCAGTTGCAGAAATGAAGAGAGAAACAACAGCCAAAGTGTTTAGGTGTAAGCTGGAAGCCTGGAGTCTGTGGGGATTGTCAGGGAGCCTACTTTAGGCTCTACAGACTGGGCAGAGGCAATAACACCTGTATAGAAACGAAAGATGTGGCGTTAGCCATGCTTGGAGGAGATAATTTTTTTTTCTTTATTGATTTTTTTTAAAGAGAGAGTGAAGAGGGAGGGAGAGAGATAGAAACATCCATGAGAGAGAACATTGATTGGCCACCTCCTGCACACCCCTCACTGGGGATTTGGCCCACAACCTAGGCCTGTGCCCTGACCGGGAATCAAACTGGTGACCTCTTGGTGCATGGGTCGACGCTCAACCACCGAACCACACCACCTGGGAAGAGGAGAGAAACTTTTCATCTGAGCCCAGTAGAAAAACAAAAGCATCAAAGAGATTCCCCTTTCTTAAAAGGGATCAGAGAACACTTCCCACCAGCTCAGGAGAGTATACGGAAACAAATGGTCTATCTTAGGATGTGGGTACAAAAGAAAATGATCACCTGTCAGGAATGGTTCCCCAGGGCCTGTGCTCTGAATGGCTGCAAAGTCCAGACTTATACTACTTGTGAGGCTCATGAGTCCCAAGCAGAGAAATTAACACAATATTTGGTCTAAAGCAATCAAAAGCTCTAGGATCTTAGTAGATAATGCATAACCACTCTGTGTAGAAATCCTGTCACAAACCAGAGCACATAGGAGTCACACAGGAAAAACAAATCCTACTGAAAATGAGCTCACAATAAAAACTGACAAATCATGTGAGGAAATGAGCCTCTGTTTGTGGGAACCAGCAGGTGCAGCCAGCAGGGTCCTCCATACTTCAAGGACTGCAGATAATGGGACAATCTGAAGGAAGCTATAAACCCACTCAGACCCAGATTTTCAAAAGCAGAACCCAGCGGTTCTGATCCTTGTTCTGATCCAACCGGTTCCTCCTGTGTCCTCTTTAGTTCATTCCAACCCTTCCTGCCAGATACACTCAAATTCTTGAGTATCTTCAAATTCTTCCTTCTCAGCTTTTCCCCTTAGAAAATGGTTTTCAATGTTCTCATCTTTCTTCTCCTCCTCTCCTCTGTTACTGTGCTGGGCATCTAATCTCATCCCCACTGTCTCCTCTTCTCTTTAACCCACCTCCACACTGCCACTGTTATCCTCCTAAATGCCAACTTTAATGATTTATGTCCCAAAGCCAAATTCTTGATTTTTAAAGCCCAAACCTTCCCCAGCTTGGACCTAAACATTTTTTTCCTGTTTTGTTCCCTATTATAATAAGTCACCCTCACCCCAACCTGCTGTTTCAGCTTTCCTGGCTTACTTATCCTTCCTGCACTCTCCCTTAGGCTTCCAAGCAGCCTCCTCCTTCTGACTAGACTGCTCCCCTCGCCACGTCTGCTGACTGAAGGGGAATCTTAGTTTAACCTTTAGAAGCATGATGTCATGGAAGAATGAAGGCATCAGTGTAGCTACACACATCTGGCTTCCAATTCCGGGTGTGCTGCCTAATAGCTCTGAGCCTCAGTTTCTAATCATGCAGGATGGAATGATGCCTACTTTGCAGAGTTGGGAGAATTAGAGATAATCTACATAAAGCACTGAACACAGAACCTGGCCCCAGTAAGTGCTAAATAAACAGTTGCTGAATCGAGCCGCTACCGGCAGATTTTTATGGAAGCTATGTCCTCACTGCTTCCCCAGCCAGAGCTCCGTGAGGCCTGAGGCCTGGTCTCACTTGTCTTTCCATCTTTGCACTTTCCTGTGTCTCACACGGGAAGTCTTGAATATATCAGTGACAAGTAGTGAAAAGAACCAGGCATGCCTAACCTGATGCTAGAAGGAAAGACTTTGGGTAGAGGAACTGGCAGGTGTCAGATGTTGGAGGGGTATTGAGGACCAGTTCATATTGAACCACTCCAGAGAGGGCAGAACCACCATCAGGAGCTATACGGAGGCCGATGCTAGCCCAGAACAGGAAGGAACGGCCAGCATTTAGAGCTATTTAATACGAGAGCAGGTGCCAAATGTAAGTTGCCATGAAAAACTCAGATTATAGGAAGCATTTACTAGTGATAATAAGAGTGGCTCGTTGCTGTCGTACATATCTTCAAAATACACACCTCCCACCTAGAGGGCTTGGTTCATAGGTAAAAATTCAAGGCTCTACATATTTTTTATTAAATGAATGAATAAATAAATGAAATCCTTGATCAATCTGATCTTTAAGGAAAGATATGTACTGCAAGGAGAAAAAAATGAAGGGTTCAGAAAAAGCCCAACACAGGATGGAAGGCAGAGAACGGTGAGTCGGGGCCAGAGAGATCAGTTTGGGAAGCTAGAACTCCGGGCCCCTTGCCCAGGCTGAGAACCAGTGACCTAAACCCAAGATTCGGTTCACCTGCTTGATTCTTCACACGTTGGCTGATCAGTGATCATGGGACATACCCAGAGACTACCAGAGAAATCACCCATAAGATCTTGATCATGTCTAGATGGTATTCTGATTTAATTCTGAAACTTCTTTTTCCTATGAATTTAGGTCTTAATTATCATGTCTATTATTACAATGATTACTTGTTCTGCTACTACAATTGCTCAGTTCACACTTGGAAATAAGTTATTAAGTGAAGTGTGTTGAGGTATGATTTTTTTCCTTAGAGTACCATTATTCAAAGAACAGTTGATTTTCAACATGAACACCAGTGACACTAAGTCCCAAGAAAAAAAAATCCTGTCCAAGAATAAAAGGATTTCTCTATTTTTTTAAAATATGTTTTTATTGAGAGAGGAAGGGGGAGGGAGAGACAGACATCAATCCCGGCCGCCTCCTGCATGCTCCCTACTGGGAATCGAGCCCAAAACCCAGGCATGTGCCCCGAGAGGGAATCAAACCAGTGATCTCTTGGGGCACGGGATGACACCCAACCGAGAGCCACAGAGGCCAGGGCTAGAGGAGTTCTTGTTTGGTAAACCAAGCGTATAATTCTCAAGGACAAGCTGGTTCTCCCAGTTCTCATGAGCAAAGATAAACTGCTCTGAGTCAAGACCTTGCTCTCTGCACCCACTGCCCCGCTGTGCTCACCTGGAGACACAGTGGCTGCGGGACTTCAGGAGGCTCCCCAGGCTCTGCAGGGCCTCTGGCAGCCCGGCTCCAGTGAGGGCACTACAGGCCCGGAGCTCCCAGCGGCGGTCCTGGAATCTCTCCAGGCCCAGCTCGTCTCTGATCTGGAGCAGCGGCAGAGCCTCGGGTGCCTCCTGCTTGTTGGCCAGCACCAGGAAAGGGACTCTGGCCATCTTGGGGCTGTCCAAGACTTCCATGAGCTCAGCCACTGCCTCCGGCAAGCGGCCTCTGTCTGTGCTATCTAGCACATACACGAGGATGTCCGTGCCTTCCAGGTAGTCCTTCCAGCTGGCCCTGAGCTGGGTCTGCCCTCCGACATCCCAGAGAGTCAGAGACACATGCCCCGGGGCTTCGAGAGGCTCCACGTTGAAGCCAACGGTGGGCAGGGTCTCCACCAACTGGTAGCCCTTCAGTTTGTACAGGAGTGTGGTCTTGCCTGCTGAGTCGAGGCCCATCATCACCACCTGGGCTTCTGCCTTGTGACCTCGGGAATTCCCAGAACCCATGGTGGCCACCGGTAAGCCCTGGGCGAGAAAGGCCAGGCGCACACATCAGCATTGTTTTCTGAAGGAACGCACAGACCCATGCAGCACAGGGAAGAGCTACTCCCAAAGTAGGAAGTGTCTTCAGGGTTTCAGACACAGGCCTGGGCTCTGAAGGGCCAGGAATTGAGGGTGTGTCACTGTCAGCTGACCTATCTCTGGGCAGCCTGCTTCGGAGAGGAGATTGGGCCCCGGAAGACGAGGAATGTGGGCTCAGTTCCTTGGTAGTTAAAGCAAGGAGGCAAAACAAAGTTCCAGTTAGACAAACCTGGTTCAGTAGAAATGACTGGAAGATGTCTCCCATTCTTGCCAGCCTGTGCTTCTAGCCTCTGTTTTCCTTCTTATGAGCGAGCCTAAACCCCGGGTGGAGGCTGTCTGGGCTCAGTGCACCAAACGAAGAGGACAGTGGCCCATGATCACCTCGCTGCCTTGGGAACCCCCACAGGACCTGCACCCTGTCCTGTAAACAGTGGCTATTTATAAATACTGTTGGCTGGGGACACATTATCAGTCGGAGCACAGAGGTTTCCTCCTGTCTTAGGGGTGAACTACCTCTGGCACACAACTCCCACGCTCCCAAATCCCCAGTGTAAGACCACCACCGGCTCCCAGTTCTGTCAGGAGAGACCTTGGCTGGGACAGGGAAGGGATGTCTCACCCCAGGAGTATATTTCAGCTGCCCCTGGAGGGAAAAAGAGCCTGGGTCACGCCCTGCCAGGGAGAGGAGTAAACGTAGTTACCTGGGTGTCGCTAGCCCGTGGCCGAGGCCCTGGCCGCCCTCTGCTCGGCGCTGCCGCACTAAGGGCCCAGGCCAAGGGGAAGGAAGTGCTGTTTCTCCTTTTTCTGCTTCCTTTTCCCAGGTGGCTGGGGGTGGGGCGGGCCCCACAGCGCTCTCAGCTGGGGGTTCCCAGCAGTCCCCCGCTGGGGTGTGCCCACAGATTCCCCAGCTCTCAGTCCTGCCAGCGCGAGGCCCCGCGCCTCGGGGGGAGCAGCCCCACTCGCGCGGGGAGGAGGGCGCCACGCGCTCGGCTGCGCCCCCGTCCGGCCACTTTCCTTGGCTCTTCCTCTCGTAATCCTGTGACCTCAGTGGAGAATCTGACAGTCGGACTTTTTCCTTTAGCTCAGAGATTCTTTTGTTTGCTTGAAATCGTACATGCTTTACAACAACAGAACGGCCTACGTATGATTAAGACACTCTAAAAAATAGGAATGTTGAAGGTAAAGCATAAAAATTAAAAAGTTGTGTCGATGAGGTAGAACTACGGGCGATCAAACATATTGCTGAATTTTTCCTTGAACGGTGTCATTATGTTTTCCCCAGTAAAAATGATACCCCCTGAAAATATAATTTTCAAAGAACTGTTGGAGTCAGAAGTTGTTGGTTCTGTACATCTGCTTTGGATCTCGAGTTGTAATGAGGTGGCTCCTGGAGCCAGTAACACTGCAAGGCTGTCTGCTCCCCACACATTATCTCATTCAACTCTGGAGAGCCAGCTGGGGGACAGGCTCAGGCAAGGTAAGTAACTTGCTCATGACCTTGCTGGGATTTATAAGTTATCTCTCTCTCTTTCCACATGTTGTGCTACTTACTCCCTGACCAAGTGATTTGTGAACAGCAGACACCCTGTTGTGATTGTTGTGTTGTCAGGCTACTGTATGTCACAGGAGGAAGCCATTAGCAAAAGTCAGAAACAGAGTGCTATGCATACCACTGTGTTGTGCTGTTCTGGCTGTTACATGGCTTTGTTCTTTTGAGAGCCCGAGGTTGTAGGTTGTAGTCCTTGTGCAAGGGCCAGGGTGTGTGGTGAGGGAAGGGATAATGGGGGTGCAATTATTGTCAAAGAAAAACCAGAGCTGGAGGGTAGTTAAAATCATGAAAACAGATTTGATTCAAGACTCTTGTAATAGGGGAAAACAGACCTCACTGTAGAATTGGGTTCAGTTTTGAATATAACATGGGCAACTGGGGATTTATAGCCAAGGAGGAGGATGGGGGTCAGTGGATGGAAAGTTACTAAGAGGAAACATCAGGGATAATGGGGCTTTTGGCTAAACTGAATAACAGGATTCTCGCTGAGGGCAGGCCAGGGTGACCAGACCTTAGCTGGGAAATGAGGGATGAACAGGAACCTGATCATATATGGAGGGTGATCAGATATAAAGGGTGGGGTTTCTGGTTAAACTGACAGTAGGGTTCTTGCTAAAACTTGATTTTATAAGGAAGTGCTCAGATGAGATTAGGATAAGATTCAGGAGCCTGAGTAAGGTTTGGTTAAGCAAAGAATTTTTGTCATTATCACAGGAAAACCTCAAAGCAATGAAGAACTGTCTGCAGGCAGATTTGTCCTTCTCGACTGGACCAACTTGGGACTCGGAGCTACCCAGGCCTGGCTCATAAATCAGTGGGAATCCTGCCAGGATTTGAGTTGCAGGAGGATTAGGGTTAGCAGAGGATAAGGACTCAGCAGGCAAAGGATCAAGTGTGCTTGGAGCCTGGGAAACCAGGGGGGTGGCACCCTGACTATTTCCCAATGTCTGAGGCCCGGCGAGGGTGGGAAGCAGGCAGAAACTGAAGAAGCCATTGACTTGAGGGGCTCAGAGGCACCAGACCAGCCTGTTTGGGTGCTGAGTGTCCCCCAGTGACACAGTGAAGGAAGGAAGACTCCCTTGCCCTCCTGCCCCGGGATTCTAGGGACACTGGGGCCACATGGGCAGTATACGTGGCATCTGGAGGCCCCTCTGTGGCACCCATGGGCTCTTAGAGAGGCCCTGCCCTCCGGGGCCTACACAGGCATGCGGGGGGGGGGGGGGGGACCTGTGAACGCTGTGGGCTCTCCCAGAAGTCAAGGAACCTTTCCTGAGGGCTAAGGTCCTGTATTTCCTGGAGAAGGTAAGAGCCAGGAAAACAATTACATTGAATATGGCCCAAAGGCCATTATGGGCTGATGAGTTACCCCATCCCTTTCTTCCTCCATCCCCATCCCTGCAGCTCAACCAGAAGGGGCCCTTTTCCTTGGACACCCTCATGTTGGGGGCTTTCACAGGGCTGGGGTCTGGAGAGGCAGTAAGGAGCAATGGGTACCAGTGTGGGCTTTGATTTGGGGCTCCCCGGAGGCACACTTGGCCTCTACTATTTAGTTACTATGTCACCTCAAGTTTGTTCTTGGATTTCTCTGTGCCTCAGTTTCTTTTCCTGTAAAGTGGAGATGGTGATTATAATAATGGCATCTAAAGTTACTGGGAAGATTAACTAAGTTAAGGCACATCAAATACTTAGCCCAAATTCAAGCACCCCGTCCAAGGTTATTGGTATGAATACGGAAAGGGGGTCATCAAAAATAGAGGTGTGGCCCAGCCAGGGGGCTCAGCTGGAACATCGTCCCCTACACTGACACGGTTAAGGGGCTCTATTCCCAGCTGGTGCACTTACCTGGGTTGAGGGTTCAATCTCTGGTCAGGGCAGGTACGGGAGGAAACTGATAGATGTTTCTCTCTCTCTCTCTCTCTCTCTCTCTCTCTCTCCCTCTCCCTCTCCCTCTCCCTCTCCCTCTCCCTCTCTTTAAAATCAATAAACATATCCTTGGGTGAGGATTTTTAAAAAGTAGAGGTGTGGTTGGCGAGAGACACAACACCTTTGTAAGCCTGTGACTGCAGCTAATAGAAGGGGCTCTGTTAAACTAAACTCACTGATACCAGGAGAGATGATCTTGGATCCCATCTCTACTACCTGCAGAAAGTTAGGCTTCCCATGAGGGCTACTGAGCCCCATGGTTCAGATTGTGAGTTTAGAAACACACTTTGGCCAATTCTCATGCAGGTCCGGAGGATCAAGGCATACTCATTTCACTCACAAAGAATGCAACTCTGAGAATGCAACTTCTCACATTGCCAGTGGGATCCATTTTGTCCCGAGATCAGGAACCAGTTTCCTGTACCTGGAGCAGGCAGCTGGGGGAGGAGCGCCACTGGTGGGTACCAGGCTACTGAGTAAGTCAACCATGGAAACCATGTGCAAACAGCTCCTTGGAAACAATGGGAAGTTGGTGGATTTCAAGGATTGTTTATCATGAAACAAAGCCTGGTGATCGCTTTCTTTTCTCCTCTCTACAGAGAGGTCCAAAGGAGGGGAGCAAATAGGATACATTAGTTTTTTGTGTTTATCTTTTTTTTCCCAAATGGTAACATACGTGGAGGAATTTAATCGCCCTAGTGAATCTTTCAGCCAGAATTTCTTAGCCATCTGCTTTGTCAAGGATCAGTGGGAGAGAAAAGAAGTTACAGGCAGCAGCGCAGAAGTTACAGGCAGTTACCTTCCCGGTGAGTGTCTTCTGGACGTGTTGTGGTGAGAATCAACACTCCAGTCATGCTAAAGTTTAAAATTCTCTGAGACATTTAGCTCCATCTATCACTGTCATTTATCACGCAGCCCTTGGAACCTCAGGCAGTGCCGTTGACCCTTGAACAACAGGGGGTTAGAGGTGCCCACTTCCCATGCAGTCAAAAATTCATGTATGACTTTGACTCCCCAGAACTTAACTATGTATAGTCTACAGTTGACAGGAAGCCTTACCAGTAACATAACAGTCAATTAACACAAAATTTGTATGTTATATGTATTATATACTACATTCTTACAATAAAGTAAGCTAGAGAAAAGGAAATTTTATTAAGAAAATCATAAGGAAGAGAAAATACATTTACAGCACTGAAAATATTTATTGAAAAAAGAAATCTACATGTAAGTAGACCCACACGATTCAAATCATGTTGTGCAAGGGTCAACTGTGTACCTGAATCTGGAGTGGTTGCCACAGGTGCAGTTTGTGGGTACCTGTTTACCGGTACATGTGTCTATGGTTAGACCTTCCCCAGAGAGCATGAGGTCAACTCATAAACTGAGACCAGCGGTTTTCACTGGCAGCGCTTTGAAAGTTTGATTAGCGCTCACTCCTGGCATTCGGTGGGAGGGGCCGAGGTGCTAGACATCCGTAATGCCCAGGATGACTCTGCACAAGAAAGAATGTTCTTGTGTAGTTTTGTAAAAAGTTCACTCTTTAAAAATGATCTCATCCTAGAACCTAATTTTATTTTATAGGTAAATCCAGATAATTTTTTCATAGTTTCACATACATTCATTTTCCAGAAATGAGACTACTGTGTGAATTGAGGAAAGCTTGCCCTGTTGTGCTGGGAGCTTTGGCATGAGAACATCACATCCTGCCAGCAGCACTGCCTGTGGTATTTAAATGGACGATAAAACCCACAAAAACAGTGCATCAGGCCCCATTGTGGCCACATAGATTCTTCTACCTCGAGAGGCAAAAGTTTGACAGCTGCACTAATGTGATTGTGCCTGAGCACTTTTATGGCAATCAATATTCTTTTGTTATATTTACCTTCCTTTTATTTATTTATCTTATAGTTGTAGCATTATATTGATTGTTTTTCAACATTATGTGGGTAAATAGATTCTATTATTTATGGTTTTCATTTCTAGATTTAAAAATATTTGTTATATTTAAAAAGTGGCAAGTTGCTCTGTGTGGGCCCCTCGTGGGGGAGGAGATGGTTGGGTAAGGAAAGAGACCAGTAGTGACAGAGCCAGGTGGAATGACAATGGGAGAGCCCAAACTGGGAGTCATACATGGGGACAGCCCGAGGTTCCACCTTCTCCTCTGAGCCAGTAGGCTGTCTCTTCAAGAGCGCGTGCAGTCTCATTCCTACATGGAGCCTAGCTTTTACCTGCATCCTATGGACTACCTTGTAGCAGAACACAGCCTTTCAACGTGTGCAGCGATTGCACAGAGCCAGATGCAAGAGTGTGCATGCCAAAGGGCAAGACAACCACCAAAAAGACCAGCACATTAATGATGGGTAGCAATTTTACATATGACGATCTAAATCAGGCATGAGATACAGTAGGCGCTAATTGCAAAGATCTTTTATTCACATGTATAATATATAAATATGC